TCGGTAATGAAATTACGTTCTTTATCAACTCCAAGAAGTTGCTACCGCAACGCCACTTACTCTCAAAGCACTCAGTACATGTTGCTTAAAAACGAGTTTAATGAACCTATTTTCACTGCCAAATTGCAACCAGCATACTAAGTTTTCTCCTTATGTCTAAAAAAAACATGCATGCAGCAAAGGTTTTTATATTAGCCATGCAGTCAGATTGTCCAATTGTTGCTGTTGTTGTTTTTTTTAGTAAGTTTTTTCCAAATAAGAAACCTCAGTATAGAATATCAAACACTATGCGACAAATGTTTTTCAGCCTCCTAATTTCTTCCCTTTAATAAGAAGAGTACCCGATTCTAAGCACCAGTTTCTTTTTGACTCCTTGGGTCGTCAGGAAAGCCGCTAATAAACGTTCGGAGACGATTGTGCGAAAGACTTGGGAGATCCAAGAACTCATTGGTCAGCATGCACGAGCAAAACTGCTTGACAACAGCTTGACTGTCACCTGGGGCCATATCAACTTTGAAGATCTCACTGGAGACATTAGCTGTGGCACGGACTTGTAACTTACACTTTGCACATCAGTGACAGAAAAGACGATGAGAAAGAAGTCTAAGAAACTCCAGGAAATATGAAAACGCAGAAAATTCAGAACACCATTGTAATAGGCAGAGTGCACATCTCAGAAAGTTCTCACCAATAAATTAAATTTAAAGAAAACTTCTCTAGTAACTTTTATCAGCCCTATAAGTATATACTAATGCAGTGGATAGCGTTGGAGGCGCTCTCTGATTGGTTACACAAACTCCGAATATCCACCAACGCGGGCGTGTGATTTACGCCCGAAAACGTGATAATCGTTGCAGGAATAAATGAGATAAAAATCATGTTTTTCTGTTGTATTATCTCACTGTTTCGGTATATACTTAAACAAATATTCGCCTCAGTTTCGGTGGCTGATGGTGGATCAGCTCGGTAAATATCTACCACCGGGTAAATATTTGTTAATCATTATTAGTGACAAGGCTTATAGCTATTTGTAGGACTTCTTCCCTTCCGATCATCGATACCAAATTAATTACGAGGTGCGGAAACTTATTTCATAACCGAATGCCTTAGGCTGTTCTTTCATTGAGCGACAGCATTTTTTTAATTGTAAAGTACGTAAGGCGTTTTTATTAAGTGTGAAAGTTTATTTCAAAGCAGAAATTGCGACAGTTATGGCTAAGAGCGAAGATTATTACAAAGTGTGACAGCTTTTTTATTACAAGGTGCAACCAGCATTTCTTAGTACAAAGTGCGACAATTTGTGCAAAGAACTAAGATTATTACAAAGTGAAACAGCTTACTTATTACAAAGTGCGTCAGCTGTGTCATTACGAAAGAACGACAATTGTTGCCAAGAGTGAAGATTCAGTACAAAGTGTGACAGCTTTTTTATTAAAAGGTGCGGCAAACAATCTTATTACAGAGTGCGACAATTCTTATTAAAAATTAAAATGTCATTGAATGACCTTAACACGGTATTTATCACTTGTTTGTTGTCAATTATGCCCCAACAAGAAGGCTCAAGTCCGTTTTAACTCCACACAAGCACTAGGTCGGTCTTCTCGTCTGCTGCACCTAGGTTCTGGACTGATCTGAATCAAACCCGTTGGTCTTCCCTTATAATTCAGATTAAAGACTTTTTTTTTTAGAAGGGTATAAACCGCAACCAGCGTCATAATTTCAAATGTCTCGGAAATTTTACAGTGGCCTTAAGTATTCCAATTTTTGAAGCTTTATATATACTGAGTTTGTGAAGCCATGTGAAGCAGTGCTGAGTATACCACTATAGATATAACATTACTATGTGATCAGAGGCCGTGTTCGTTCATCCAATTTAGAATTAGGAAATATTTCAACCGAATAGTCTTTAATTTGTTTTCCACTGGAACGTTTGCACAAAGGCGGCCATTCCTGTGAGATATTACGGCAAAGAGGAACAAATGACGTTCCCTGTTAGAAAAATAGGTGTTTTTACAAGTCAGTACAAAACATTTTTATTAGCGCATAGAATATATTACTACATGTAAGTATCTAAATCATGGAAGAAGCGGGAAGGTTTCCGTAAATGGAAAAATTGACATATAAGGTTCGCATGAAGCACGTACTCAACTGTCAATTAGGTAAAGAACCCTAATCACTGAATCAGACATGTAATAGTAAACTTTTAAACTAGCCATTACTTGATCAAACAAGCAGCGTCTCCGGTTCTCGCCTGCTACAGATATCTAACATTCGCCTCTCCACGGCATCTCTTTCGTGTATTATCCTTTGTCTTTTCCGCTCTATAATTTAAGAGAAAATGGGTTTTTACAATCTAATGGCATTCCTTTTAGCTCGTAGAACGCGATAATAAGTATTTTAAGTTTTGAAGGGAAAATGGGATTTATCACTGTTAATTTAGTGCGTAGAACATCGGACAATTTGACATAGAGTTTCTCCTGACCCATGTGCAAACTGGTGAATTACAGAATGAATCAAGAACTACAATTCCTGGATTTGGCACTTGATAGTAAATTGAGACTTTTCATTACTTACCCCACTGTAAAATTATAGTTCGAAACGAAAACAATTACTTTTCGTTTCAACTTAAGCTCTTCTGTCTAATGACGAATTCATTCAGGTGTTGTCGCCCGACGGCCACCATCATGCTGCTCCTGCCACTCTTGATATTTTTCCCTTCGTTACTTAACTTGATGTTTGCCATGCAGAACAGTGCTCTCTATCGAAATCCAACAGGTCACGGCGCCATCGGAAAATTTAGACGCGATCCCTTCCATTATTTAAGAGCAGAGAAAGTGACATCATCCATGGTGGAAGATCACTTAGACTGCACTTTCCTTTGTGCTGGAGAATCAAAGTGTTATTCCTTTAACATGGCAGCGTATCCTGACTCCAAAAGTCTTTATCTGTGTGAGTTGTTGGCCACAGACAAGTACAGAGAAATCAAAAAGTTCACTGCAAATGCAACCTTCCATCATTACAGTTTATCGGTAGGAACTCTTTAGAAGGTTCCTTTTTCCCATATGAATGTGGATAATTTATTTATCTTAAAACACATCACTTACCATTGCTTTCTTCTTTGCATCTAAGGAGATAAGACCTGCAGTCAGATCAAGCAATGTAATCTCCCGAGTGGCACTTACGTCATCGACCCTGATGGAGGGGGTTAAGTGAAGCCTTTCAAGGTCTATTGTCACATGACGGACAAAAACGGTGTTGGAGTGACAGTTGTCAGTCATGACAGTGAAAACAGAACACTGGTGGACGGGTTTAGTGACCCTGGCAGTTACTCACGCGATGTCACTTACCATGACACCAGTTTCCTTCAGCTGGCAGGTCTAACAGCTTCATCCGATCAGTGTGAGCAGTTCATAATGTACGAGTGCGACCAATCAGTACTCCTTCTCTTTGGTCGAAAGTCCTATGGCTGGTGGGTGTCACGTGACGGCGAAACTATGAAGTACTGGGGAGGAGCTGATTCTGTTGACGACAAGTGCGCATGCGGCTTGAATTCTACATGCGCAGACATCAAATACGATTGTAACTGCGACAAAGGAGAGCAAATTTGGCGAAATGACAGCGGTTTACTCAAAGACAAATCCAAGCTTCCCGTGAGGCAACTGAGGTTTGGAGATACCGATTCAAATGCTGATGATAAGGGGTACCATACACTTGGAAAGCTGAAGTGTTTTGGACTCATCTAAGACTCGTAAACAATATAATACACTGTAACTGTATACCAACGATATGTAGACTGGCCTGATCTATCATCTTAAAGTTTAACTTTGTCTTTAAAGGCGGTTAGTTTCTTTAAGAAATCAATAAAATTAAAAGAAATCAATAAATTGATTTTAACGTCAAGTGAAAACCATCCTAGTTTGGACAGATGTCCTTTGCGCAGTAGAATATTTTGGTGCCAAAAGCTCATTTTCCATTTTTAGAGGTGAAAAGATGGAAAAAAAACGCGAAATCATTGCACCATAAA